GGACAGTCGGGCCATCAATAAAATTACGGTCCGTTATCGTTTCCCTATCCCTCGATTGGATGATCTTTTGGACCAATTGCACGGGGCCACCATTTTTACCAAGCTTGATCTCCGGAGTGGCTATCATCAGATACGTATTCGCCCGGGTGATGAATGGAAGACAGCTTTCAAGATTCGCGAGGGCCTTTTTGAGTGGTTGGTTATGCCGTTTGGTTTGTCTAATGCCCCGAGCACTTTTATGCGCGTAATGAACCAGGCTCTGCGGGATCTTATCGGTAAATGTGTGGTCGTTTATTTCGACGATATTCTTATCTACAGCCAGTCGTTGGAGGCACACTTGGGCCACGTACGAGAGGTACTTCTTATTCTTCGTGCTGAGTCCTTTTATGCTGCTCCGCTCAAATGTGTGTTCTTGGTGGATTCGGTTCTTTTTCTTGGCTTTGTTATTTCAGCGGATGGTATTCGTGTGGATGCCGGGAAGGTTGCCGCCATTCGGGATTGGCCGCCACCTGCGACGGTTACTGAGGCCCGTAGCTTTCATGGCCTCGCCTCCTTCTACCGTCGTTTCATCTCTCATTTTAGTTCCATCATAGCCCCGTTCACAGACTGTATTGCCGGGAAGTCTTTTGTTTGGACGCCGCAGGCGGCCGAGGCCTTTGCACTGATCAAGGATCGTCTTACTTCGGCACCTGTCTTGGTTTTGCCTGACTTTTCTCGACCTTTTGAGTTGTCCTGTGATGCTTCTAAGGTTGGCATTGGGGCAGTTCTGAGTCAGGAGTCCCGCCCGGTCGCATTCTTTAGTGAGAAGCTTTCTGGCCCACGGCTTCGGTATAGTACTTATGACGTGGAGTTTTATGCTGTGTATCGTGCTGTCCACCATTGGCGCCACTACCTTTTTCACCGAGAGTTTATTCTCTTTTCTGATCACGAGGCTCTGCGCCATTTGGCGTCCCAGGACAACATCTCTTCGCGCCATGCCACGTGGACTTCATTTTTACAGCAGTTCACTTTCGTCTTGAAACACAAGTCGGGCACTTCTAATAAGGTGGCGGATGCTCTTAGTCGGCGATCCATGTTATTGTCTGATTTGCGCATTGAGGTGGTGGGGTTTGATGTTCTTCGTGACTTGTATGCTTCTGATCCTTTCTTCGGTCCTATTGTTTCTCGCCTTTCCGCTGGCCCGTTTGAGGATTATGTGTTGGTTGATGGGTTCTTGTTTCGTGGGCTTTGTTTATGTGTTCCGGAGAGTAGCCTGCGCGTGAAGCTGGTGGCTGACTTGCATGGTGCGGGACATGTAGGTCGGGATCGTTCCGTGGAGCTGGTCCGTCGGTCCTTCTTCTGGCCTTCCCTGCGACGGGATGTGTCTCGTTTTGTCGAGCGTTGTCGTATTTGCCAGGTGTCTAAAGGGGGGTCGTCTAATGCGGGCCTCTATCGGCCTTTGCCCATTCCTACTCAGCCTTGGTGTGCCATCAGCATGGACTTTGTGGTTGGGTTGCCTCGCACTCAGCGGGGGTTTGATTCTATTTTTGTGGTTGTGGACCGTTTCTCTAAGATGGTCCACTTTATCCCTTGCAAGCGCACGACGGACGCGGTTCATGTCGCCCAACTCTTCTTTCGTGAGATTTATCGTCTGCATGGGCTGCCCTCGTCCATTGTCTCGGACCGTGATACCCGTTTTCTGAGTTTCTTTTGGCGGAGCCTTTGGCGGATGACGGGCACCCGCCTTGATTTCAGTAGTGCCTATCACCCTCAGACTGATGGGCAGACTGAGGTGGTTAATCGGTCTCTTGGGAATTTGCTTCGCTGCTTGGTCGGGGAGAATGTGCGCAGTTGGGACAGCCGCCTCCCTCAGGCGGAATTTGCTCATAATTCGGCGGTGAGCTGGGCCACGGACTTATCCCCTTTCCAAGTCGTTTATGCCGTCCAGCCACGTGGACCTTCTGATTTATTGGCGTTGCCGGGCCCGGGAGACGCTGATAAGCGGGCCGAGGACTTGTTGGCTGATTTGCGGCGGACGCATGCGGCGACTCAGGCCCGTCTCGAGCATGTCACGGCAGCTTACAAGCAGCAGGCAGACCGACGGCGGCGGCATGTGGAGTTTGAGGTGGGCGATTTTGTATGGGCGGTCTTGACTAGAGACCGTTTTCCGGCTCACGAGTACAACAAGCTTTCGGCCCGGAAAATTGGGCCTTTGGAGATTGTGGAGAAGATCAACCCGAACGCCTACCGCCTTCGCCTTCCGTCCCACATTCGCACTTCCGACGTTTTCAACGTCAAGCATCTGGTTCCTTTTCATGGCGACAACTCTGACGACGAGATCCCCTTGGATTCGAGGGCGAATCCTCTCCAACCGGGGGAGAATGATGGCGACGAGATCGCATTGGCTTATCTGGACAAGTTTGATCGCCTTCGTATCTAGCTATCTATTATTTATAGCACTTTTATTTATTTTTATTTATTTCCTTTTATTTATGATTTAGGATATCTATTACTAAATAAGACTAGGGTTTGAGAGTCTATTTAAAGGGCATGAGTTCTCATTGTAAAGCAGACATTGATTGAAATAAATTTTATCGTGAGTTCTCTTTGAGAGTTCTTTTCCCATCGTACGTTTCTCCTGCGTCACTAATATATAATATAGATACACTAATTACTTTACTACTCATCAGTTAATTAAAATTAATGTCTGAGTTTCTAATTAATTTACCATCGTTCAATTAACAACCGATCAAGGATGAGTAGTGCGGGCGGGCTGATCCGAGATGATATGGGATGGTGGATTGAGGGCTTTCTCTTGACTATTGGGTCTTGTACCATTACGGGAGCCGAGCTCTGGGGGTCCTTCAGAAGCTTATTTTGGCATGGGATTTAGGATATCAGCAAGTTATTACTGAAATTGATAGTCAATGCGTTTTAAAAATGGTGTCTCGGTCGGATGGTTGTTTTGGCGCTCACGAGGCGATGGTTAAGGCCATTCGCGTCTTACTCCAAAGGAACTGTGATGTTAGAGTTCAACATGTCCATAGAAAAGTGAATTTCGATGTTGATCATATGGCGAGCTGGCGGCCTCCTATCCGCCTGGCCTGCATCGAGCTTCGTCACTGCCTTTAGGGTTAGGAGCATGGCAAGAGCATGATAAAATTGGGGTGTCATATCCCCGACAAGTTTTAGCATAAGCCTTCGGCCTCTTTCTTTGTAACGATAACTAAAAAATAAAAAACAATTAGCACTAACCTTAAGCCACAATTGCAATTAACTAATTAATGATAATGGCATGTTGTTGGAGAGAAGTTATTATTATTTTTTTTTTTAGAAAAAAATTGACACTTGAATCAGTAACTAAAATATAAATCACCTTATTAAATTTTAAAACATAAAAATATAGCAGTCCACGTGCAAAAATGAGTAATTGAGAATATTTCTTCCCGTCCATTTTGTTCGTTGCCGGAACTTGGATCCAGGTTGAGATTTGACTCCTTGCTAGATCCGACTAGCCACTCGAGGAGTTGGAGTTTTTGGCTCTGGGGCTTGGATTTGCTGTTCTCGGTTGTTCTGACTTTGGATTGGATTTATTTTTGTGGATCGAGCCGGATGGTGTGGTAGCTGCGGTGTGCTTGCATGTAGTAGGGGAGGGCTTACTCTACTAGGTGTGTGTCTTTTTTTAGTTTGTTGATTGGTGCCTCGTTTGTTTGTTTGTAGTTAGGGTGTGTTGTTTTGTGGTGTTTGTTCTTCTCTTTTCTTCACCCGTTGGAGTCTTCGGGTTCGATTCTCCACAAGTTGGAGCTCTTGTGTTTGTTTTTTGTTAGTTTGGTGTCTCGTTGGTGTATCGGCTTTAGGATGTCTGTATGCTATATTAGCTGATATTAGCAGTCGGGGTTGTCCTCCACTAGATTCAACTTAGTAGCTGATTTCAGTTGTCTTGGTTGATCTAGTTTGTAATTTGTGTTTTGTTTTAATATTAATCTATCGTTTCGTTAAAAAAAAAAAAAAGAACTCAAAAGCTTTTAATTTTTTAATACTATTACGCATTTTAAAAATCCACTTGAGTAAATTTATGTATTTAAATTATAATAGGGCCCAATTTGCTTTAAGAAATATCATTTTTTGTATGATGAGGATCCATTTCACCACTACCTTCACCAAAGGGACAAAAAAAAAACAAAAAAAAAAAAATGTAAACAATTCATCCAATCTCAACAAACTCTCTCACGTCATGCAATAATACAAAAAAGCTAATTAGAAACGCTCCTAATAATAGCGTATTGTATTTGGCGGTTTGAGAGCAAAAAGCTGATCGTAAATGCTAAGTTACCAAACAACATTTTCAGCTGATTGAAAAAGTCAAACAAGCCAAATGTTCAAAAAGCTATTTTTTAGTTCAAAACGCTGTTTTCCAAATATGACCTAAATCTATGTTGAGGTAGCCGATTTAATTTGAGAACTAACACTAACAGGTCAGAGAGATTTCATAAAAATGGATGTAGCCCGCTTAGACATGGCCAAATTCCTGGCCGGGCCCAAGCCCGACTGTTCGCCGAGTTTAAAATCATCAACCCTGATGAACCGACTCGTACCTAGATACAACCCAAGTACAGGGCCCGACGGGATGGGTCGGGCTCGACTCAAATTCGAGACCCATCCTAAAAAAAATTGAACAATCTATTGTTGATTTTTTGGGACGGGATCTAATATTACTCGGTATGACATGACCCGACCCTACCTGAACCGACCTGGTTTGAATTCGGACACGGACCTAGACCCGTGGTCCACGGATCTGATAGGGCCGGGTTTGAGCCAATTCTGGGTGGGTCAACCGGCTAGGTGACCCATCACCATGTCTAGGCCGCCAGCTTACCAACCCTTTCAAAAATTCCAATTGAAAAACAAAAAACAAAGATTCTAATTTTCCCGCTTAGTGCTTCCCGCCAAACGACTAATAAGAGAAGGCAACCCTAAATCAAACTCGACAATCATTCACAGACGAAGACGACGGGAGAACGATGGATAAGGGAGGCAGCGCAGCTCCTACTGGCTGCTACAAGTGCGGGCGGCCAGGCCACTGGTCTCGCGACTGCCCTTCCAACCCCAATATCAACAGTAGTAGCAATGATAATCCCACAAAAACATTTGCCCCAAGGCTCAAAAGCAGCAGTAATAATCCCATCGAGAAGCCCAAGCCGAAGCAGAGACGAAGCAGGCCGAAGCTGACTCCAGATCTGCTCCTCTCTGAGACCACTGGCATTGGTTACATTCTACGCTATTTCCCTAAGGCCTTCAAGTGCCATGGCCGAGGTCGCGAGGTCTAATATATATCTAATCCCCTTCATTATTATTGATTCGATATATATAATCTCCGTTTTTTTTGGGAATGCAATTTTTTATAACGATTAGTAACCAATTACTAGGCTCAAATCCTTCTCATTTTATTATTTATTTTCAAAATCCTGAGTTTGGATGAATTTTGGGTTATGCTATTGGGTGTTTCCCTGTGACAAGGCTGAGTCTTTGAGTATTTAGCTCATCTATTATTTTTAACTTTGCATTTTATTTTTTCAATAATACAGGTTAGTGATCTGCGAAACCTACTTCGCTTGTATGCCGACTGGCACTCACGTTTACTTCCGTATTATGATTTCGGTCAGTTCATACGTAAGGTGGAACAAGTGGGCACTACCAAGCGGGTTAAGGCAAGAAATATCTGCCCTTTTCGATTATACACTTATAATATGTTTGCATAACTTGGGGTTCATTGAGATTATTTATGCTAAATGTGAGTTGGATTTGTGCGATGTTTTCCGTTTTAATGCTATATCATACTTGGAATTTCTCTAGGCTCCATATCATGCTATTAATGAGTTTCTGTAACTATACAATCTCAATATTATCATAAATCTAGATCTCTAATGCGAACTTTTTTGAAGTTCTAAAAGTTTGTGCTTTTATCGTTTAAGCGGTGATATTGGGATTAAGTTGTTGTCTCTCCATGAATCAATTTGTAGCTTGTCTTCATGAGATTGTCTGTACATGGAATATTCAGATAAGCATATGAAGGAGCTGTTTTATTTCATTTAAATGACACAACTAAATGACAAAGTAGCTGTTTTCATTTCATCTTTTATGAGTGTGGAGTGCTTTCATCCCAGTAGTGCAGAGCAAGGTATTATTGTTGTTGTAGGGGCAAAGATGTCTAATCATTGAACTTTTTCTTATCTGCTATTTTATCCCATTGACTCTATCAGGTTGAAACTAGATTAGCAAAATAATTAAAAATAGTTTAAAATTGCCATTTATCATTTCTTAAAGATGAATAACAAAGAAAAACTTCAAGTACTTCTCAACTTTCATACTTTCACTTTTATTTTCTATTTTTTATTTTATTTTACTTTGTTTAGTTATTATATGTGGTTGCAAAAGAGCTTCACCTTTTCAGTATCCTACTTTTCAATCTAATACTCCTTCAATCATTTAGTTTTTCTTTACAGTCCAAAATCTTCACTATATTCTTTGCTTTTCTTCTCTCTGACCTTGCATATTGTATAACGAATAACTGCCACCACGTTCAAAAGTCTCACTGCATCATCAGGAGTCATGAGTGAAGATTTGTTTTGTGTAATAAATAACTTTGACACATGTTTAGGAAGTATTCCTGCATCGTTGACAGTCACACGCAAAGATTTTTCATGAACAAGCGTAAATGAAATATATTAAGGCAAAAATAATGATCTTCTTCTCTTATGTGCTTTGAGTTTTATTGAACCAAAAAGTATGTTTGGACTTAAGTTTGTTAGGGTGTTGGATCAAGTTTAGGAAGTACGTAGCCTTTGCTCTTGAGTTCAGTGTTGGGCATCTTTTAGGCCTTAGATTTTTATTTGATTGTAGATTCTTTGTCGTGATTGGGTCTATTTAGGAACACACTTATTTCATCATTTTCAAAATCATGATAACTTAAATCCTATAACTTTAGAGAAAAATAAAACACAGACTTGCATCATAACAATTTATGGTAGGTAGTTTGGTATAACATGCATCAAACATAAATGGAAAAGCTCTTACACCAGAAAAAAATCATCTATGGCTACTAAATTTATCGCAATTCCTAATAGTTATTTGTTGTCAGTTAATTGACTTTAACTGTATAATTTCATTTATCAGCTTCTATCTTTGTTCCCTCTGAATGATAATGATTTCTAGTTTGCATTTTTCTAAGTAGGTCTGTCTAAGAGAGCTACGTGAGAGAATTGCTGATGGGGTGGATCCGATGAATCTCCACGAGCCACGAGTTCATAAAAACTCAGTCGATGAAGGTATATCATATCTGATAACCTAGCCAATACTTATGCTTTTTGTATATTGCTTTTTGGTCCCAAACAGAGAATAGTTTGCATCTTTTATTTACTTTTGTACTGAAAGAAGAATGCTGAATAATCAATAAAATGTCATTTAAATTATGCTCCAGAAGTTTGAAATTTTGTTAGTATGGATCTCCCAGAGGTGCGTATGCATATGTCGGATACAAAAAAGTCATATCACACAAGTAGAACTGACAAAGATCATGTATTTGCATAAAACATTAGCCTTATGATCTTCTGGTCCAACATGCTCAGTCCTAATTGCGGTGTCTAACAATTTCTCAGTCACATCTTTTCTATGAAATTACATGTGAAAATTGCTGTCGTATTCGTCTCTCTAGTGGTGTCAAGACTCACTCTATTGTCACATTGCACACTATTACAAATACGTATGCATATGGACCGCCCATTTAGTACTTTAATGATTCTTCTCTTATGAAATAAAAGTCGGTCCCTTTTTAACATCTATATAATTTATATACAGATGCTTTAGGTTACTATTCTTTTTAACCAGTATATATAATAAAGTTACACATCAACTACCTGTGATATATGGTGGTGTCATGATAATTACTAAGTAGTAGTGCAGTAGTTGACCAATAAAACACCGTGGATGAAGTTCTTCTCGTAAATTCTAATCGCGTGTCCTAGTCCACAATATGTCACTGGTAATAATTACAAAATGTTTGTGATGAAATAATAGCGGCCAAAGCATGTTGGTCATGCTTTTTTTTTTTTAAAAAATAATTGATCGTGGGATTTTTTCAACTGCATCTGCAAGTTGTAGTAATATGTGTGCTTAATTTCTGTGTTCTTTTGTTGGCATAGCTAGAGAGGTATCTTTTGAGCTCTGCGATCTTCAGCTCAAATACTCATGAAAAGCACGAAAGGCATCCACAAGCTCTACTAAACCTATGCCCATCGCACCACCCCTTTCTTTTCTCTTACTTTTCAGACCCATCACCATCATCATTGTCATCGTTGTGAATCATTCTTCTCTTATTATTATGTCATCATCATCATCATTATCATTATCCTCTTCAAGTTTCATCTGTGTAAACTTATAATTTCCCCCCAAACGTTTCTGGTTCTTGTTTATCTGATAATATCTGCATCTGCCGATGCACCAGGTGGCGCAGACATGCCAAGTAATTTCCAGGAAAATGATTTCCCAAGGGAAGAAGAGACTAATAGTTTTCATGAAGACGCACCCCAAAATGACTGGGAAAAGGTCACTCAAGTAAGTTGTTTGTTTCCTTGTGTATCCTTTGTTCGTTTACTTGGGGTACAAAAGAACAGTTACATTTTTACGCATATGCTTTTTGATGTAAGGTTGAAGCAATTGAAGTTAGTGAGAGTTGCTAGTCTTGTCATTATTTACTTAAAGAAGAATAATGAAAAAGAGTTAATGCAGAAGAATTTCTAATGATCAGTTTGCATGAGAACAAAAACTATAAACAAAGAGTAACTGATTACTGAATCTTGATTTTTACTCCCCTAACTCCATTTACTGAATATTTTCATATTATTTTACTTTTTTGGTTTCTTATCTTGTTCAGGAAACTCATATGCCTCCGCATGTGGAAAGCAATAATGCTGATTCCGATCACAACAAAATTTCAGAAGAACAAAAGGCTCTAATGGAAGCTAACCGGTTGAAAGCATTAGAGAGAGCAGCAGCCAGAAAGATAATTCGCTCTGCACCTCCTCCTGCTTAATATGTGGGAGTTTGATGTATTCATTTGCTCTCCTTCCCTCCCTTTACATCTGCACACGATGTATAAGATGAATAGCTTAAGTGACAATTCTATTTATTTTTTTTTTTTTTTTAACTCGTGCGCCTATATATCTTACAATGCATGGTAAAAAGTTGTTTAAGTACATTGCACTTGTGTAGTGTAATTACTTAAGTTGAATGATTATCAACGACGTTGCTCACATAATTCTGTTCTTACTTTTAGCTCACTGAACACAGTTGCTTGGTAGACCGATTTCACATGGAAATTTCTGTCAAGATCCCAAATCCATTCGTCTTTGCTATCACTAACTCAAAGGGACTTTGAGGATGGCCTCAACATCAACCCTGCAGTTGTCTATTTCCACTCTCTCCAACTTCATCCATACTTCCGGCCTAGATTTAAAGACTTCCCAGCTTTACACAATCACTTCCAAAGCCAAGAATGACTTCACTTGGTACTAAGCTTCCTTCTGGTTCCCATAGGAATATATTTAGCTCTCAACACATTACTCAGTAAACATATTAGCTCCAGTGATCACTTTCTAGAGATGCTTCACCAACAGGGCTTGTTAGAAGACTGTTAAGCTCTAAAATCAAGACATAAAATAGATAAGGAGAACATTCAAAGCAAACTCGAGTAAACTTCTTTGTG